AATACTTAAGGAAGAACTATATCGAAAGATAGACTGAGCGACATTAAAAAAAAGAATTTATTTATTTAAAAAATAAGATAATTTTCGCAAAAGACAGAAAATTCGTAAGAAAAAGCGAGTCTGTGATTCTGTCAAAATTAATTAATGTCAAGATAAAGGAGTGACGCGCCAAGAGAAACTGAATTCAGATAGAAAAACAAAGCCGGTCGACGCATGGAGAATTTCGGCCTGAGGCCACCCTGAAGAATAGATATTAATTATCTTTCAGAGATATTTAACTATAATTCCTGGTTCCAGCGAAGAAAGCCATCTAGTATATGCACGAATCCTGGCATGAGAAGGAGAATCGAAAAGGGAATCATTATTATTGCTTATTCAAACTGTTGACGCCAGACATAGCGTCTCGAAAATGAGCATCTGGTGATAAGAGAATTTTAAGGCATGGGGAAAATAAAGAATTTGATTTTCAGGTAAACACGACCACCCAGTTAAAAGTGTCGACAATGATTAATGAGTCGGTAGAGGTCCGGGCTAAGTGGATTTTGGGTGTCCCCAAAATCAAGATGTGATAACAATTATTCGGCAATCTGGGACTTGTAAATGTCTTGGACGAAGGAAAAGGAAAAAAAAAAGATTTTGTAAACAAAATTCTGAATAATAATTCTAAGAGGGCCAGTCTATCCACACCCACACTGCCGAAAGATCATTGGCCAAGTGATAGCATGGGTGATAGGCGGAGGTGAATGTATGAGAAAGACGGAGAAGTTGTTAACAGCCACTGAGGGGATTGGTATGAGATACCAATATGAGAGAGGAAGAGTCTAGCGGACGAGAGAGGAACCCTCGAAGTGGAAAGTGATTAATCTTCCAAAAATGGGAAGTAATTAATTTTCCTGGCCTAAGAACAAAGAGAATTCTTGTTAGGAATTGAGAATTATCAAGGAACGCAAACCACGTCAGGCCCCCACACCGGGTTTGGGTCTGTGTCCATATAAACGAACGTCTCGAGGCAGTCAGTTAGAGTTCGAAGTTCCAGTCAGTTCCAGACAGTTAGAGTTTGGAGTTAGGCCAAGAAGTTGGAGACCAGCCTCGCAGAAGCTGACCGAAAGATTTCCACGTCCTCTCCTACCAATAGCAAGTTTTTATTGACGAACGACCTAAGATACCATAACTCGCTTAAGAAACACAAAAAAGTGTCACGAATCCATAGAAATGGGCTGGGAGAGAAACACACTCCGGTATTCAACAGATAGATAAAAATAATTGTTTTTTTCTCAGCATATTTGAACCTCTTGAGTTGTTTTATTATTTTCTTTTACTTACGCTTGTGCGGTATCACCTTTACCCCGGATTCAGCTTGCACTATGGCAATTGATTTCGTCTATCTAAGATCAAAATCACAATGTGGGTAGGTTAGACTTGAGATCAAAGTAGTTACTTCGGTAACCAGACGTTGGAAGTGAGCAGGGAACGACAAGTTGGTACCGAACCAGGAACGACCAGATCAACCGGGACACAGGCTGGTGGCAGCGACAACGAGTCATCCCCAAACGCTGGTGGAAGAAACCTTACAGCTCCGCGCCGCAGCTGAGAGTTGTCCACGAGCTGCCGGCGCAGCGTCATATATTGACGTCGCGACCAGTGGACGTCACATATTGGCGCTGGACTGCGACTTCGACCACCGGTGGGTGTCACATATCCATGGTCATTAATTAATGAAAGACTTTCAGACGGAATCGGTGTAGATAAATTTTCATCTGATTTCAAACAAATACAACTTGGCTAATATGATTTAAAAGATAACTTATATTAGCAATAAAATGTTCGATACTATTAATATTGAATATACCATGAAATTTAGATTCGGAATAAATATTCCTGATTTTCTTGCAGGTACTGATGCTGTGCCTTTGGCTACGAAGCACTTCAACAGAACCATTGTTACCAACATGTGCTTGCACACATAAGACAACAATGCTTCATTCCTCTTTAATGAAACCAATGGGTATTGTTTCTCAAGGAAAATGTTTCCAGAAGGCCGAATTCCCTATAAGTGGATCCCGATGGATTCGCCTGTTAGAAGATGAGAAGGTATGTTTATATCTAACTTAATTATAATTATTATTATTATTATTATTATTATTATTTCCTTTGATTTCTGGTGTGTACACATTTTTTCAGGGTTCCGCTCAGAGACGTTAGCTTAAAAATGACAATTAAAAAAAAAGATAAAAACACTCACATATTTTACATAGATAAAGCCCTTCGAAAGGTGTGGACTGTACTCGTGAAAAGATTTTTTTTTAAATTTTCTTTAAGACATGGGCTTCCAGGAATCCCTTCAATTAGTCTACTGGAATATTTTCCAACCAATCCGAGTGCTCCAACTACAACAGGGATTGTTGATGTTCCCATGTGTCACATTTCTGAGATTTCTATTTCAAGGTCCTTGTATTTTGCCAGCTTTTTGAATATCTTCAAAGATACATTGCAGTCTGCAGGGACTGCCATATCAATAAGGAGGCAGATTTTTTGTTTGTGGTCACTAATAACAATGTCAGGGCAATTACCTTTGATTGTTCTGTCTCTGTGTATTGTGCTATTATTATTATTAATAATAATAATAATAATAATCAACATCAAGTAGAAGTTTATGAAGTTTTATTAGACGAATCAAATTTAGCACTGAAAAATGTTATATTTATTGTAATAGTTAACGCGACCTAAGGTTAGAAATGCCATCATGACATTTTACACTGATATATATATATATATATATATATATATATATATATATATATATATATATATATATATATATATATATTACATAGATAAAGCCCTTCATAAGGTGCGGGCTGTACTCGTGAGAACAATTGTTCGTATTTCTTTAAGGCATGGGCTTCCAAGAATCCTTTCAGTTAGTCTACTGGAATCTTTTACAACCAATCCGAGTGCTCCAACTACAACAGAGATTGTTGATGTTCCCATGTGCCACATTTTTGAGATTTCTATTTCGAGGTCCTTGTATTTTGATAGCTTTTTGAAGATCTTCAAAGATACACTGCAGTCCGCAGGGACTGCCATATCAATAAAGAGGCACTTGTTTTTATTTGTGGTCTCTAATAACAATGTCTGGGCGATTACCTTTGATTGTTCTGTCTGTGTGTATTGTGTAGTCCCATAAAATTGTAACAGGTCCTATCTCCGTAACTGGGTCTGGGTGGTGTTCATACCAATTTCTTTCAGTTTCCTTCCCATAGAAGTTGAAGATTTTCCAGTACAGATATTGGCCCACTCTGTCATGCCGGGTTTTATATTCAGTGGGTGCCAATAACGTGCAACTCGATACAAGATGATCAATTGCTTCTGGATATTTATCACAGTTCCCTAATCTTTGTGACAATGTCTAAATCTATTGAGGGTGTTTCTATAATTCTCCCTTACTTGAATGTTACTTTTGCACATTTATCTAATCCGATGTCCATACCTATGTCGTCACAGAAACATTTTAGAATATTGAGAAAGCCCTTCAACTCATTGTCGTCTTTGGCAAAGAGTTTGAGATCATCCATGTAGAGTAGGTGATTGAATATTTTCTTATTTAGTTTTGTAACCATAGCTAGTGTTGTTCAGTTCATGCGTAACGGGGATTAATGACAAACAAAACAGAAGGAGTGACAGGGAGTCTCCTTGAAAGATACTGCGTCTGATATTCAGATGGTTGGAGATGGCAGTGCCTCTGTAATTTAGGTATAGTGTGGTGTTCCACATTCTCATGCTGTGATTAAGGAAATTTACTACCACAGGGAAAAATTTGTACATTTTCAGAGTCTTAAGAATCCAAAAGTGTGGCACACTATCAAAAATCTTTGCGATAATCAATCCACGCTGCGCTAAGATTTCTACATCCTGCAATTTTGTTTATCAGTAGTTGATCTTTGCAGCCATATGAACCTCTCCTGCATTCCTCCTGTTCATGTGGAAGAAATTTGCTTCGAAAAAAGTGTAAGTACAGTTCGTCAGGACAGACGTGATCAACTTATGCGATGGTGGGTAGGCATGTTATTGGCCTATAATTTTTCGGCTCATCTGTTTCACTCGTTTTTGGTATGAGATATGTAATACCTTCAGTGATCCATTCCGGAATTTCATTGGGATTATTTGCAAGCGTTGAGAAGAGTTTTTGCAAGGGTTTTATGGATTAATGAGAGATGATAAAGCCAGAAATTGAGCACCTTGTGATTTTTCTGGGGATTTCCATTTTGGGGATTTTATTAGAGCTTGCCTAACATTATTTGTGGTTATATTTCCCCACTCTTGCATAAGTGTATCCAGCATTCGTTCTTCTTCACTTTGGATCCGTTCTGCATTTTGGTTATATTCCTTTGGGCTGCTCCAAATTTTCTCCCACAATGTCTGCACATTGTCAATAGATGGTGGCTTTTCGACATGTATAGGCCCTTTTCCATTTGCCTTGTAAATTCCTTAAGGTCCGTTTGGAATATTTTATTTTGACGATAGAACCTACAACGTTTTTCATATCGTCTTGTCCTCTGCGCCTTTTACTGCAGTTTCTGTTTCAGCCTTTCCTTGATTGAAGGAATTTCAATTAGGGATTTAATTTTATATTTCCGCTTGATCTTCTTGCACTTGCGTGTGAGGATATTTGGGTGTCTAGTGAGTTCATCTAATATAGAAAGCTCACATCTGATTTCCTTTTATTTCTCGCATCAGTTTTGCCTTTCAAGCTGGCTCTCTATGTGTGCTTTTTTTTATTGTCTTGACCCCAAGCTTCCCAGTATCTGCTAAAGCTGTTGCATATATGACGTTGTTAACTTATAACTTATTAACTTGTAATTTTCCCCAGTGATAGTCATTAATTAAGCTTTGATTGTTATGTCAACAAAAGATGAGAAGGTATATTTATATATGTTATTTATATATTTATATGTTATTTAGTGTCTGAATTTAATGAGTTAGTTTGATTTTACAACAGGAATAGTTGACGCAACTTCAATAAAAAAATACATTAAGTTGAGTCATAAACAATTTCCGCTTTTCTATAGCAAGCGTACTCTTAAAAAATGAAGTACAATGATATCTTATTTAATTATATAAGCACCATTAATTTTAATGGCTTTTTGCCATTCATTAGACAGCTCTTTGGTATAAATTCTCAGTAAAATCCCGCAGATTTTTTTACAATGATTTTTACCCTGTACAAGGCCCAAGAGCCCTTCGAGGTAGAATGTTACAGAATAGCATGCACAATTTATGGGAATATGTAGGAAGAAAACGGTTGACCCTAGATTTGAACAGGCCAAGATTGTAGTGATTGAGGAAATATCCGTTAACAGTATTCCCAGAGCAGCGTTGTATATTTGCACAATGTGCTTATTGGACTTGAATTTTTGGGAGCTGGTCTCTGTCTGACAATGAAGCACATGAAATTTTTGTTAATTTTTCCGACAAACCATCATTTCTAAGAAATAACATGAGGAAAATGGCGCAGAATCAATTGGTTCAAAGGTAAAAAAAATATTTTAATGTGTTTCGATTCTTTATTCCAGACCATTTATGCTTTGAGAGAATCATTGACATTCAGACCCTGTTATGATCGGTGTAAGTATATTTTATTTTACAATATGATTTAAGAATTACTGTAATTTCATTCGGAAAAAGTAAATCATGAAGACAATATAGTTATGATTTTTTTAAAAACTGTAATAACAATGGAGTGATATTTATATTTTAGCAAGCGAAAGATTTCTAAGCACGAAATCTCTATATGTTTTTTAATCATTTCACAACAAACAAGAGAATAAAGCCACTAAGACGCATAGGTGTGAGAGAATATGAGAAAAAAACATTATTAAGGAGAGAGAAAAATAACAGAGAAGGAATTAATAAGACAGATAATGATTAAGGGTGATATGTAAGGATTATTAAGGGTGATATGTAAGGATTATTCATGATTTCGGAGTAGATATCGGCCAGTGTGTTATAGATACTTGGTAGAAATTGCAGAACATTGTGAACATTGTCTATCTCAGGAGATTTCCACTTTTGAGATTTTGATTGATCTAACTATATCTGCAATGATGTTTGACTAATTTTCTGTTTATTATTATTATTATTATTATTATTGTTATTATTATTATTATTATTATTATTCAGTGGACGCCATCAGTGGAGGACCGTGTCCAAATATTATCAGCCGTAGTGAATGGGGCGCGCGGAGACCCAGAGACAGACAGTCTTTATCAACGCCAGTGAAATATGCTGTCGTACACCACTCAAATACACCCCAGTGCTTGGATAAACCATCCTGTATAAAACGGATGCAAAGCATCCAGAACTTCCACATGAATGTTAGACGTAAGTCCAGAATAGCAGCTTACCTTAATACCTATTAACAAACACGAAATCCAGAGATCTCGGTTTAGTTTTATCCTCTCTTATGTTAGTATCATGTTATTTAGTGTCTGAATTTAATGAGTTAGTTTGATTTTACAACAGGAATAATTGCCGCAACTTCATTATATAAATGCATTAAGTTGATTCATAAACAATTTCCGCTTTTCTTTAGCAAGCGTATTCTTAAAAATGAAGTACAATGATATCTTATTTAATTATATATGCACCATTAATTTTAATGGCTTTTTGTCATTCATTAGGCAGCTCTTTGGTATACATTTTCAGTAAAATACCGCAGATTTTTTTACAATGATTTTTACCCTGTATAAGGCTCAAGAGCCCTTCGAGGTAGAATGTTACAGAATAGCATGCCCAATTTATGGGAATATGTAGGAAGAAAACGGTTGACCCTAGATTTGAACAGGCCAAGATTGTAGCGATTGAGGAAATATCCTCTTGGTAGTCGGTTCCACAAATCTGTGGTTCGTGGGAAGAAGCTTCTCGAGTTGAATTTACCAATGGAATATGAAGGTAATAATAAGGGAGGCTCGCTACAATGTGCACGGCATGGCGGATCTTAGCTGTGAAGGTTAGAACTAATGGAACTAAAGAATGGACTTCGTCTGAGCACTTTCCATGGAAATAGCGATAAAGCAACGAGAGGGAAAGAGTTTTTAGGGTGGGAAATAATTCACCATCCACAAGGACACGAAGACGGTTTTTGGTTCTACCGATACTGGAAAGTGAAGACTAGGTAGCTCCTGTCCATATATGGCAACAGTATAGAATTTCGATCTCATCTGGTTCTTGTAAATGTATAGGATAGCGGGAGGAGTCAGGTACTAAAGCGGTTCAGTGAAGCGACCATTTTTCCAGCATCTTTCTCTCTCTTTCTCTGTCTCTGTCTGTCTGTCTGTCTGTCTGTCTCTGTCTCTCTCTCTCTCTATATATATATATTGTTTTACAGAGAATACACACACACATACACACATATATATATATATTCTCTGTAAAACAAGAGCGATAAAGCAGCGAGAGGCTTGTGACTTTTCGCCTGTGGGAAAGGGGTTGTAAGGTGGAAAATAGTTTACCATACACAAGGACACGGAGACGGTTTTGGACTCTATCGAGACTGGAAAGTGAATACTGGGTAGCTCCTGTCCATATATGGCAACAGTACAGCATTTCGATGGATCGTATGTACGAGTTCCACTTTAGGCCTGGACTGAGTTTAAGTCCCAATATGTGCTCAAGGCCTGAGACGCCCTGAGTGAACAATCAATAAGTGTAAATTCAGGGTTTGTTCGGCGATGATGGAATAGAAACTTTAATTAAAAACCAGTTTTTCTTGTGCCGCGTCCCTTCCAGACGTTGGCGATCATGGCTCTCCACAATTTCTTTTTTTTTTTTTTTTTAACTCTTAATATATTTTATCTTTTTGTTATCTCTTCTAAAGTTTGTTTCACCATCCATATACTCAAGTTCGTAAGGTTGGTTATGGTGATTTTCTAAGCGTAGCTTAGATGTGGCACATGGTCAAAACTATGGGGCACCCAGTGAGGATCAAACTCACTATTTAGTAGTAATTTGATCTAGCAAACATGCTTGCTAACCATTACACCACGTCGAAGTGCCCTGGTGGTTTTCTAAGTGTACGGACTCTCCTTGACAGAGCAATCGTTAATGATGTGTTAAAGTTTTTAGTAAACTTTTGAATCTGGTTTTAATTAGCGATCAAAATAATGTTGGTACAAAGTCAGATGAATATTGTAGGTAGAGTAAAAGATATTCGAATTCGAATTTTCAAACCCTCTTTCCCCATTATGTACCCTAGAAATTTTTAACTATCTTTTCCTGATGTTAATTATAAGTTTAATTTGTTTCCATTTTCTATAAAACTTTGTCGTTGCTAAGATGTTCGGTCAGCATCCTTCTATAGAATCACATTTATGTTGCTTCAAGTCTCTTTTCCATATGTGAGGAGATTGTCCAGGGGAAAAATGTATATTTATCCCTTGCCTTACATTCATTCCATTAACTTCGTTTGAGACGCATGCCATTTTTTTTTTATTATTAATGGAAGCGAATTTAGTCTTCCCCAATTTTTCGAAAATTGAATATTAGTTCTTTGAATTTTATTTTATTTTTCTATCTCTCTGCTAACTCGTGCAACTGGACGTTATAGGAATTCCAAGTCACAGACGTGGGAAAAAAGTATATATATTCCTTGCCTTTCATTTGTTCCATTAACCTCGTTTGGAAAACTTGTTGCCCGTCTTCATTGTACGTATATCTTTGAATTTCACCCCTAATCCTATTCACCTATTCCCTTCTTCTTTTTTTTAATGGTTGGTATCATTACTTGATGAAATGACATTCATTCTTCCATTTTTTCTTCGTTTTTTTTTTTTAAATTATTAATGGAAGCGAATTTAGTCTTCCCCAATTTTTCGAAAACTTTGAATATTAGTTCTTTGAATTTTATTTTTTTTCTTTCTCTCTGCTAACTCATGCAACTGGACATCATAAGAATTCCTGGTCACATAATTATTATTTAATAAGTGCATGCTGGCACTTAAAAATAAGTTGAAACTTTATATTTAGTTTCAACTCTGAGTACCTCTCACGTTGTTTATGAACTCGTATTTTACTTATTTGTTTATGCCTTTTTGGTTGTTTGTTTTTTTCTTTCCTTTTGATTTTTTAAATTTTTTTTTGTTTCATTTTTTTCTGTGTGCGTGTAATAGGAGTAGAGAGGCTTGCCCGGCCAATACTCCCTGTCCCCTTCACAGGCATAGAGGCTCATCTCTTGTTTCCTGTTTAGGAAGGGGTTCCCGGATCTTTTCTTTTTCACTGGCCTTTGTAATAGTACTGTCGTGAATCTCTTGTCACGTGTGCGGTCTGTGGCAACTTCTCTTCATACTGAGGGTATCGGGTTGACAGTTCTCTGGTTGCTGTTCCCGACTGGTAGTTAGGAGCGCTAACTATTGCGTAGCTTCTTGTGTGGCTGCTTTGATCAACAGTTGCATAATACCGGAGTGCTTGTAGTGCCATGTCGCGCTTGGAAGAATGTCCCTGCACGTATCTCCGGTGGGCTATCCTGAGGCCACTTTATGTCGCAGTCTACGCCAACTCCTTTCTGTCCATGTTACATGACCTTCTGCTACTATTACTTTAGGCCTTTTCACTACCAACATGACTCAAAATGACCTTAAACCATCATAAAAATAAACCTAAACCAGCTCTAAAAATCGTCTAAACATTTTAACATTTCCTTTTTCCAACATCCGTAGCATTCGATACAACTTCTGCAGTGTTGAGTCGTTTATCGTTGAAAAGTCTCCTGATATACTAGCCTTTCTTTAGCAAGCGTATTCTTCAAAAGTAAAATACAATTATATCTTATTTAATTATATATGCACCATTAATTTTAATGGATTTTTACCATTCATTAGGCAGCTCTTTGGTATACATTTTCAGTTTACCTACACTGTTTTTGATCCTCATCAACGATCTTCCTGATGTCATCAACTCCCAAGTTGACATCTACGCTGACGACACTATTTACTCCCGCCTTAATAGTAGCATTCGATCCAACTTCTGCAGTGTTGAGTTTCTTGTTGAAAAGTCTCCTGATATACTAGCTCCCTGCGAGACTATACATCAACCCCCTCCTCTGATTTCTCGATTCTCTCTCTTTAGAAAGGTCTTTGATACATGGCCTGAGATTTTATGTCTGAGACCATTTCTCACTGGCTAGGGAACTCTCTCTTGAATCTCCCGACCATCCATATATGTGTTTCCGTTTATCTCTCCTCAATTCAGTTAGCTATCTCTACCGTTCCCCTTCCTCTCAAGACTGTGGCGTACTCGACAGTATTTCCGATAATATAGACAAAACCATCTCCCTACATCTGTTTGCACATATATTCGTATTCGGTGACTTTAACGCCTACCATACCATGTGGCTTAAAAACTCTATAACTGAACTCGCTGGTATACAAACCCTTAACTTTTCAATCACTCAATCTTTCACACATGAGGTTGACTTTCCTACACGTTTCCTCAGTAACCCTGATGGTGATGCTTCCCTTCTCAATCTTTGTTTTACCGCCATTCCTGACTCCTGTCGTGTCACGCAGTTCTTCCCTCTTGGCAACTCTGATCATGCTGTGGTGTCTGCTAACATCTCCTCCTACCCCTCCCCCAGCAAAAAACCTCCTACTAACAGAATATCTTTCTGTTATCAACGGGTAGACTGGGATTCGTTCCGTGATTTCCTTCGCGATGTCCCCTGGAATATGGTTTTTAATCTCGCCCTTCAAAAATGTGCGTCTGAGGTCTCCTCCTGGCTAAAAGCTAGAATTGAGGCTTTCATCCCTGCAAGAAAATATAAAGTTAAATCGCGATCATCTCCTTGCTCAGCTGCTATTGCCCATAGGAATCGCATCTTCCATCTGTACCGAAGTGATATGTCTGCTCGCAACAGACCTATCTTTGTCTCTGCTCGTAATGAGTGCAAGCGTGTCCTCAATGAACAAAGCTACTATTTGCCGGAAAAATAAAACAACGTATGGCATCACGTGAGTTTTGATCTAGAGATTATTGGCGGCTCTGCAAGAGCGTGCTGAACAACAGAAAATCCTCAATAGCTCCTCTATTCAATCAATTTGAGGTACTGACTTCCTGAGCTGATAAGGCTGAATGCTTTGCTCGGAAATTCTCATCGAATTCAACGCTCGACACATTCGGGGTACCCACCCCTGATTTTCCCCCTAGAGCTGAGGCTCTGTTGAGTGACATAAACATAACCCCAGCGATGGTCTTGGACATCGTCTCTAAATTAGACACTCATAAGGCTAGTGGCGGGTACGAGCTACCAGCCGTTGTCCTGAAGAAATGTGCTCCTGAACTGGCACCAATCCTCTCCAAACTATATGACTGCTGTCTCACTGAATCTTGCTTTCCAACCTGTTGGAAGTCGTCATCTGTTGCCCCTGTTTTTAAGAAATCTGTTGAGCCTTCTGACCCATCTAACTACCGTTCTATCAGTCTCCTACCACTCTTCGGCAAAGTCCCCGAGGCTTTAATCAACACCGAAGTGGTTAAGCACCTTACATCTCATGATCTGCTCTCAGATAAGCAATATGGTTTCCGTTTTGCCGGGTCCACCGCTGACGTACTCACGATCATAACTGAATTTATATACCAAGCACTTGACAATAACGGAGAAACTCGAGCCGTAGCTTTAGATATCTCTAAAGCGTTTGATAGGATCTGGTACGCTGGCCTTCTTCGTAAGCTTTAGGGATACGGCATTACAGGACGATTATTTGACTTAACAAAATAATTCCTGTCAAACCGTGAAATGAAGGTCGTCCTAAACGGGTTCGCATCCAGTTCATTTCACACGAACGCTGGTCTTCCCCAAGGCTATATCCAGAGTCCTACACTGTTTTCGATCTTCATCAACGATCTACATGATGTCATCAACTCCCAAGTTGACATCTACGCTGACGACACTATTTACTCCTGCCTTAATAGTAGATCCGGCATCGTTGACAAAACTAACCTGGTCGTAGGCCTCGAGAAGGACCTCCAATCTGTGGTTGACTGGAGCAGAAAATGGCTTGTAAATTTAATGCCTCTAAGACGAAACTGCTCTCAGTTACCCACCATATAGAACACTCCCTGCCTTCCACCAGGATGGCTGATGCCTATTTCCACGAAAGCGCCTCTCTGCGCCTGCTTGGTCTCACGCTGTCCACTGACCTTAAGTGGTACAACTACATTGAATCTATACCTTCATCTACTGCAAGGAAAGTTTGTTCTCTGTGTCACGTCAGAAGGTTTTTCTTGCCTGAGTTCATCCTTCAAATCTACAAATCAACTATTCGTCCTTGAATGGAATACTGCTTCCATATATGATCTGGTGCTCCTGTTGTTCATGTCGAGGTCCTCGGGAAAATCCAGAGACCGATATACAACGTGGTTGGTCATAATCTGGCATCCTGTCTGCAGTCGTTATCTCACAAATATGCCGTGGCATCCCTCTGTCTTTAAATTCATGCAGTTTGGGAACCAGTGAAACCATCTCGATCTCACCTGTCGAAACGATTAAATATAGCCATCTCTTCTACTCTAAAAGATTCTTATCTCGCACCTCCCGTCAGTGGAACTCCCTTCCTATCACTTGCTTCCCTGATACCTATAATCTTCAAATATTCAAATGTAATGTCAATCGACATCTTCTGATGCCTTGACCTTGATCCCTGTCCTTTTCTTTATCTTTTTCCCAAACACTCCTCTTTACTCTTACTCTCACTTTCTGTGACCCTTTGTGTGCTAGTGGCACTCCTGCTTTGCTTGGAGTGATTTGCTTAAAAATATAGGAGAAAAAATCTCTTTTCTTTGTTTAAAGAACCCTTTTTTGCCTTCCATCAATATGGCTGATGCTAATTTCCAATAGCGCAACTCACTGCGGCATCTTTCACTCATGATTTCCACTGCCATGAAGTGGAATGATTATATTGAATCAATGACTAAGTTTGCTGCCAGGAAATTCAGTTCAGTATTTCTTGTTAGTCTTTTTCTATCTTACACATTTATAAGTCTACCAACTTCATGAATTTAAGTATAGTACCACGGTGGAGTAATGGATACCGGCTCGGATTGAGGAATCGAAGGGTCGATTTTGAATCCATTACATTCACATTACGTGCTAATGAATCCTCTTCTTATCCCCACCAGCTATGGGTAAATAGCAGGGCAGACTGGGTTCTATAGCCTTAGATGACAACTGGAAAGAAATGGCAATTACTGCGGGCAAACATCTGTCTCGTCAGTCATGTACCGAAAGATACATGATCGCCTAAGCGCGTATCACGTATCACACATAACTGACTGACTACGTTCGTGGCTCGGCCACTGTTGAAATTGCTAGTTACAACCATAAGTTCTATGATAATGGCTTCTTTTCTATAAATTTAGTGTTCTGAGCAAAATGATAAACATCCAACAGCAAGGCATCTGATCAGGAGGTTTTGAGGAGCATGGAACGACCTCTTAATTGCTGTACCCCCTGTATCTGTAACGGCATTCACCCGGGGTGGCTTGAGCCGGCTCCAATGTTGGAGTTTCATGGGAATTTGGAATTCACAAGCGGTCCCCAACCCGCATGTATAGCACATGAGATTTGATTATAGTGGTGAAGGTTTCGTGCAGGACCATCCACACTTTTTGAAGGGCCGATTACAGAGATTGGCGCACTAAGTGCCACAAGGTCCCCAAACGGCCCCCCGCAGGTTTTGAATTCAGAGTTTTCCTTCTCCTAGACCAGTTGCCATCCAAGGCTATAGAACCCAGTCTGTCCTGCTATTTACCCATAGCTGGAGGGAGAAGAAGAGGATTCACACCTTTCCCAAGGGTGTTAGCACGTAAGTGAATGTAATAGATTCGACTGGAATTCAAACTCGGCTCTCCGATTCCTCAATCCAAGCCGCTATCCATTACTCCACCGTGCCTCCTTTAATTGCTGGTGTTCTCAGGTTCACCCTGACCCGGGGTGGTAGCACCTTTTAGGATTCCAGCTATGGGCTGATAGTTAACCCCAAACTGGGGTCAAAACGTGTAAAATAGGTTTTAATACCAGCAATACATTTTTGTAAATAATTATTACCAGCAATTAATTTTTGAAGAAAAAATTATTAACAACAATACTTTTTTCGAAAAAAAATTACCTGTAGTACATTTTCGAAAAAAAATTACCAGCAATACATTCTTGGAAAAAAATATTACCAGAAATAATTTTGAAAAAATATATTACCAGCAATAAAAATATTGTCGGCTACAATTAACCCATTAAGGTTGGTATGCCGTAAAACAAACCAAACCAAACCAAATCTATAAATTCACGCTTTTGGAACCCTTTTCCTGCTTCCCGCTTTCCTGTCAACTTTGATATTTAAATTGCAACCCCAGTCGTCATCTTCTGTCTTATTGAAACTTGTTAAAGAACAAGATTCTTTGTTTCTTTCAATCTCAGTAACCCCTTCCATTATAATGACTTTTCAATCCTTTTTTCAATCACTGTACGCATTTTATTGGATAATGTTTTACTTATCTTTTTTTTTTTTATTCTTCCTCAAATTCATAAACACACCAGTGGCTAAAAAGGCATTTGCCGGATTAACATTTTTCTTTAAATTACTTCAACAAAATAGACGTTAAAATCCTCTTTTATTTCGATGTAGCCATCAAACAATGGTCGTTTGGAGAATTCAATGTTGTTTGTTGATTGTTAGTGTTGGAGATACAATCCCTTTCCCGGAGGTCCTAGTAGATGCTAATAATAATGATTATTTCTCTTCGTACACATTGTTTTGCAGAGAATATATATATATATATATATATATATATATATGTGTGTGTGTGTGTGTGTGTGTATTCTCTGTAAAACAATATATATATATATATATATATATATATAGAGAGAGAGAGAGAGAGAGTCAGACAGACAGACAGTCAGATTGATAGACAGAGACAGAGAAAGAGAGAGAGAGAGACAGAGAGAGATGCTGG